AAAAAAAAAATGGGGTAGAAAATTGAGGAGTATAGTTAGGAAACTTGTAAAAGGGAATGATTAAAATGGAGACGTGAGTTGGTATGACTAAAACTTTTGATAATAATTTGAGTATATAAATGGTTATGGTAGCTAAAAAATTCAAGAAGTAGGTGGACTACATATGTATGTAATATCAACAACGTGCATGGACCTCATATATTTACTATAATTTCAAGACAAACAGTCAAATATTGGCATTAAACTTAGGTACGTGTGTTTAATTTTTAAGGCAGTAGCAGAATTTTCTGACGATAAACTTAGGTGTGTGTTTGGTTAGAGGTTGAAACCCACCCAGGAAGTTTGTGCACCATATATGTGAATGTGATACTCCATTTCTTGATCCGAATGACTTATTAACGGTCGTTTGGTATCTGGTTATGAGATAAAATATGGGGAAAACGATAAATATATATCGAACTATCATAAATAGTATACAAGTATCCTCCGTTATACTTGTGGGATATTCATATATACCCTTTATATCAATAAATATACACATGTTATAATTTTATCTACCTATTCGATATATATCGACGGATAAGATTATGCCACTTGTTTCTATTTACTCTTCCGTTAGAGTGAAGGGCATATATGTTCAAGTTTTCAATGGAAGAGGCACCAATGTATTCAAAAGTATGACAAAGATATCTTCATATATACCATTAACAATAGTTCGAATATATATTTATCCCTTTTTCCACAAAGTATTTATGTATTAAATCTTAGCATAAGTAATTTCATATTTTGTACCAGCATTTTCTTGTTATACATTCAGCACACCTAATACAGTGTTTGATTTATAATTTAGAAACTTATATGACTATTTATATACATTATATATGTCTAAGTTATTTAGTAACGTATGTGTTATTTTATACAAATATTAAAAGGATATTTAATATATGAATTGTTAAATCTCGCATAAATAACAAGTACATCATTTCCTTATAAATCATTATATTATTGATATTTACATGACTGAACCAATCGACCGAGAGCAGAGAGAATAATTTGTGTGTAAAGCTTAGGTCACTAGTCTGAAATTATTGGTCACCGTCTAATGAGGAATTCAAGATACAATTATTGTGTTGTCTACTTAAATAAATATATTCTTTACCCTCTCCGTTCAGAATTGTTTTTCATGTTACACTTATTAAAAGTTAATTTAATTAATTTTCAAATATAAATTAGATTACGTTAATTTAATATTAAAAAATAAAAAAAATAAAAAATGTACTATAAATTACAGTTTTTTGCATATTAATATGAAAGGAGTAATATTTTGAAGTGATGATTGAATATGAAAATATACAACCACTGCATATGCGTATGGAATAAACTGAATTAATATAATTATAGTTTAGAAAAATTATTTGGAAACCATCTTACAGTAATTTCTAGTATTTTGAAAAGAATATAATCAAAATTGTATGAAAAATGTAAAATATTTTAAGAAAATAGAAATTAATATGATTTTAGAAAAGAAATTACTTCTAAAGGTGTGTTTGGCATTAGGAAAAATGATTTCCTAGGAAATATTTTATTGGAAAGCAATTGATTTCTAATTTATTTTTCATGTTTAGTTGGTAAGTAGAAAATAGTTTTTGAATTATATTTTTAATGTTTAATTAATGAATGAAATTTGAAATATTTTTTCAAAATAATTTTGTATTGTGAAATGTGATAGCAGTCGAATGAGGTAAAAGACACTTAAAAATTTTAAAATATTTTACGAAAATAATTTATTTATTTATTTTGCGAGGCGGGGCTTGTTTGGGGGATAAGGGGCCGGGGGTTTTGGGGGCTGATTTAGGGGTAGGGGCAACAAGTACTTTGAAATTTTACAACCAAGAAAACTTTTATATAATATATATATATATATATTAATTATTTTTTTTTTATGGGGAGGGTAGAGTAGGGAAAATGGGGTAAAGTAAGAACGAAAAAATATAGAAGGATGAAGTAGAGTTTTGAAAAAGTTTTATTTTTATTATTGAAGAAAAATCATTTTTAAAAAATTGAGGAAAACGAGTTATTCTGAAAAATATTTTTCAACAGGTATATGCTAACCAAAATATGGAAAAATTAAAAATTAATTGTATCAATAATTCATTACATAATTATTCACTGATATCAAATGTAACTTTGGGCTTTAGGTTTTCATAATTCAATTTTACAGAATAGGATAAACAAAATTGAACAAATACTCATTCATTGTACAAATTGTATTCTAATTTTTCATGATTAAATTCTTAGTTTCTAATAAATCAAAAGAGAAAAATAATCCAGGGAATAGTGAATATTTCATAGCCTTTTTACACGGGGGAAATTTTTGAGTTGAAATGGGCCTGTAAACTCAAATTTCGAAATATCGGGCCGTCTATCAAAAAGAAAAGAACCTGCTAGTGCTAGGCCCAATAAAATCAAACTTCATTTGATAATGGAATACTAGTTGAGAAAAATTCAGAAATAATAAAGATAATAAATATAATAAAGTTTTGTGGCTATAGTTTGGTAATTGTGCTTTTTAGTTATAATTTTATTTGTTAAGTAGACTTTAATTTGTATATTTTCTTTGCATATTTCGCTTGCGAATATGCAAACATGGTATGTATGTATATTTAAATTTTATACTTATATATTTATGAATTTTTAGAACTCTATTTGTATATTTTGCTTGTCAATATGGAAACAATGTAATTTATTAAGATTTTTGGCATTAATCGTATACAAATAGCTAAGATAATCATATACAAATTCTGATTTATACAATCACGAAGCGAATTATATAAATTTCGGATATATACAATTAGGAAACCGAATAGCTAAATTTTGTGAAATGTTAGCCATGGATTATAAATAATTGAAATTATAGCTATATTACATAATATACTCTAGATGTTTATTATTCCAAGTAATGTAAGGTTTGAATACAAGTTGTGATGTGATCAATTATAATTGGATAAGTTATGCTACGATTAGTTATGTTGGATAAATTGTGCTAAAATTATTTCTTATTGAGTGTTTGGTTGGTTGCATTGCATATAATTTAAGAACAATTTCTTTTCTTTTCTTTTTTTTACAAAAATATCCCCTATGAATGTAAAAATGATGTGTAAAAAAGGCTTAAAGTGATATCTTTGTTATTTATCTATTTTATTTTGGGATAAGTTATCGTGAGATTACTACACTGCCCAAGGAGAGGAATAACTCATCATAGGCAGTACTAATTATTAATTCTAGAATAAGTTATCCCAAACTTGTCACCTCAACAACAAATTGAATGAGACTAATTTAATCTAAAGACTATTTGATGTTATCCTTCATGTCATTCAACTCCAAGGAATCGTTTGGCAGAGTGTATTGACAAAATTAATATATGCATTAGCTTTATATATTAGAATTAGCTTGTTACTTTTTAACTTTAGTTATACAATCTATTGTGTATTAAGTAATGTATTATTAATATTATGAATTTCTAGATATTAGTAATGTAAAAAGATTTAATGCATGCGTTAGCATTTTAAAAATAAAATTAACCCTCAAAATTTATTTTACATCTTTTTTCATTATAATTACAAAAATGCATGTTATTTGTAATACACCAAATTAAATAATGTACAAAAATTAATTTATATATAACTAATTCAAATATTATTAATATAAATATTACTAATACACTCTATAAAATTTTACTCTTATACTACCGTCTACTACCCTTATGGTATAATTCTCTGACGCATTGACATGGTAACCAATTTGGATGGCAGAAACAAGTACTAAATCTCTTTCTTTTTGGCATACCGTGAGTTATTAACCATTTTATGAAAAGCAAGTGGGAAATATTTAATGCAAAAATAAAATTTGATTTAAACTATTCTTACTTAAAACATAAAAAATTATTAAGGATTTAAAATATTTTAAAAAATCAAACTCATAAATAGATTCTTAACTTTTTAGATTTTTTCTTCAAAGTACTTTAATTATGTCATTTTCCTATTGAATCATTGAACCATTCATATTTTGTTCATTTTAAATACGGTTGACTGATTTTGATCATTTTTTATAGTAAAATGCCTCTAATTGTGTTCGTATTGTAATGATTTTGATAGAAGGAATGAAGACAAATTGTGTTAGTATCAATTATTTTCTAATGTGTTCAAATGAATTGAAGTAAAACACAATTATTCTCTTATATTTTCACTATCAATTGGACTAACGAGATTTAGAACAACATATCTATGAATACCTCTCACAAAATCTGGTTCCGCATCCGCCAACAGTGTTTAAAAGAAACAAATTATGGGTGGTTCAATAATTTAATAGAAAAATAACATAGTTGAGATACGTGAAGAAAAAAATCCAACAAGTTTAGAAAACTATTTATGTATTTGGAGTAGTTGAATGTTAGTATTAACTTTTAAAATATTGGTTAGTATTGGAAAGTAAATGTTTAAAAATAGCTATTTATTAATTTGTTTTCATAATCAAGTGCATTTAGCTAAATAATATTGAGAAAATCTCTACTCTTTTTGGGTTTATTAGGGGAAGTAAAAATATTTTTTCTTTCATCACTCAAGATATGAATTAAAACACATTTAGCTTAAATCACATGTCAATCCAATGACTACACATAAGGAAGTTAGATCATGATAAAAAAGGGGTTTTCAAAATTTTCAATCATTTAGGTTCCCTATCTTATCATATATTATGATTTTATAACCGTTAAAACTGTGTTTTTTTTTATACATTTTGTATACTTCTAAAAAGTCTTTTTTTTTTTTGAAAAATTAAAATTTAATTACAACCAAAAATTAAGTTCGTAATAGTGTAGTAGTTCTAGTTAGTGCGCTCGTGCTACCCAAATTAGTGTGTCCACTAATTAGGGACAAAACGGTCATTTAACATCAACAGTGCTGAAAATTCCCTCCCTATAAACACCAATTCCCCACGAAGCCTGTTCAGTGTACGGCTTTTTCTGTATCTCCCACAAATACATTTTTGACCGTTGGGGTTTTCACAGAGAAGAAGAAGCTGGAAAATGGGTGCTCGTGGGAGGAAAAGAGCTGCTCCGGTGAACACCGACAATGTCGATTGCAATACCCAGAAAAATTCAGAGTACGAACAGTTGAGGGAAAAAAGAATCAAAGAAAATCTTGAGAGGATGCAAAAGTTGGGGATTTTTGACATATCACTCAAACTCAAGCCTGTTAGGACACCCATCGTTCGCAAAACCCCTCAGCGTCTCTCTCCTGTGCAGCGTTCTGGACCCACGCGCCGGTCCTCCAGGTATACTTTACTGTATTGCCCAAATAGTGTGTCGATTTTTTTAACATTGATGCCGGCACACCCACTATTTGTGTTAAACTATAAATTACTGTGGAATCATCATGCGGATTAATTTCTGTATTTAAGTGGAGAGGGGTAGAATGGGTTTGTTGTTGACTTCCCATATCCGCTGGGGTTGAAGTCTTTGGTCTCCTTAAGTTAGGTTCAAGATTCCATTTGTTGTCATGGTATCAGTGGAAGATCCATCCAACTTATTGTTTACCCGATGTTGGGCCCATCTTATATTGTCCATACTCGTCTTGGTGTGCGAGCTTCATGAGTCAGCTTTTGAGTTTGAGTTATCCGGTATCCTATTATCCATCCGCTCGAAACTTAAAAACAAGAATTTCTGTGTTGTGAAAATGATTTTTTATAGATTAAACATTTTCACTTTCACTTACTTGGATATGTTGTCTCAGAGGTGTAGTGGTAGAGAGGAATAATGTATGTAAATGTACTCAGTATATACTAACTTAGTATGTACTCAGTATATACTAACTTTAGATCCTTATTTTTTTTCTTAAGGTTTACTGGATGTAAGGGTAGCATGTTCAACTATTTGCTCCTAGATTTTCCTTGTCTGCTGACTGTTCTGCAAGATAATATGACCATTCAATACTTGCATACAAATGAGGGAGAACATGGGGATGTGGTAATTTCTAACGCCTTATTCTTGTTTGCTTGGGTATTTTAGGCTGCAGAGTGCGACACCAGTTAGCTATTCAGAGGTGCATCTGTCGAAGATTGATGACTCCTTGGATGGTAAGCATCATTTGTTGAGGGAGGAAGGGGCAAAGCCAGAGATTTACACGGAAGAACACGAGAAATTGTTGGGTTCCACTGATTTGAGCTGGACTTTTTTTGTGGATGGATATGGAAATGATGGGAAGAGAATCTATGATCCAGTCAAAGGAAAAACTTGTCATCAGTGCCGGTAAGGAGATATGTTTGTTCTTATTATTTTATGCTTCATGTTAACTGATTTTCATCAACCTGGCTGAGTATAGTACTGGGAACCTAGTAACTTCTGTAAATTCTTGCCTTTTTGATGTACTTTAAGCTGTCTGTTAGTTACACCGGCCCATATTACCCTGGTTGATGGACTTACATCTCATCACCTAGTAACTTCAGTAAATTCTTGCCTTTTGATGTACTTTAAGCTGTCTGTTAGTTACACCGGCCCATATTACCCTGGTTGATGGACCTACATCTCATCACTAGGATAAAACTATTGAGTTTACCCTTGAAAACACAAATGCCTAACTTTTTGTTGTTGTTTAAGTTAATTCTTAGATGCTGCCTATTCTTCATGATTTTGGAGTTAGTTACGTATACAAGTTGAAATTTCACACTATAAAACTATAGAGTTTACGCTTGAAAATACAAATGCCTAACTTTTTTTCGTTGTTTGAGTTAATTCTTAGATGCTGTCTGTTCTGCATGGTTTTGGAGTTAATTACGTAAACAAGTTGAAATTTCACACTATAAAACTATAGAGTTTACCCTTGAAAACACAAATGCCTAACTTTTTTTGTTGTTTAAGTTAATTCTTAGATGCTGCCTATTCTTCATGATATCGTAGTTAATTACGTAAACAAGTTGAAATTTCACATTAGAGAAAATATGAACAATTGGGAAAGCAAACTGGGTAAATGAATTGTGTTGTTAGCTGTCTATGAATTTCCTCAGTTGCTGTCAAATGCCTATTTGTATAGACAACTAAGATAGTATTTGATATCTTTGCAACCTTAGGTGACATTGGCAAAATAATGAAAAATTAGGAGATAATATGAATGGACTTGGAATGATCTATGAGCTCAATCAAATTTATCATTGCTTAATATTGGAAACTATGTAAATCTGTATTTTGAGGGTTACATTATTGGTTTTATTAGCCTGTCTCAATATGGTACTAGTGGAAGTTATTCTATCTGAGCCTTAGATATTTTCAAATAAACATGGAGTCAACAATGCTTTCTCTATTGCGATGAATCAAGTAATACCCTCCCCCATTTCCCCTTCGCCTACCCCCACTTCTTTTAGAAGTAATGTTTGCAACAAATACTTTCTTTGAAGAAGGAACAAAATCATGACATATTTTCCTTTGTTTTTCATTATGTAATGCTACTTAAATGTTGATTTGATTCTCTCTCTATCTTCTCCCCGTGTCACGCACACAGTTTTCCCAGGCAGTCTTATTGCTTTGTTTCTCATGTATGTGATCATTCAATACAATTTCCTCTGGATGAATATATTAAGTTGTCAATGTGGTTCTTCACCTTCTTTTGCAGACAGAAAACTCTTGGTCATCGTACTCATTGTAGCAATTGCCAAATTGTTCAAGGACAATTCTGTGGAGATTGCTTGTATATGAGGTATGCCAGTATGTATATCAAAATTTCAATATCTTCTAATGTTAAGTCTTTTAATGCTCTGAATATGCCAAACTTTTCAAATAAGATACATTTCATTGAGTAATGTATTTTATCTATATATTCATCTATGTCTTTCTGTGCCACTTGATGATGAAACCACTATTTCTATCAGTTGTCTGTATATTTGGTCCTGCTGAGCTTTATCAATCAGCTTTGACGATATGCATTTATTCCTCTCATTTAACCAGTTGTTCTGACATCCTGTCCCCATGCACATATATCTAAGGTTATGAAGTTGTATTTGTTCAAGCCAATAAGATTTATTTCCGCCACCTCCGTATAGGGATTACATGTTTATTTCTTTCTTAAACACACAGCCTTAAGCTTTCTAAGACGGGAGATCAACTTTTACTCTTCATATTCAATTCCCTTGTAATGCAGCTCATTTTGTGCATCTATGCTAAATCCTACTGTGGGCAGCTTTTATTTTCATCTTATGATTAGAAAAAAAAAACGCATCAGATACTGGTTGGAAAATCTCCTTTATACAAAACCTGCAGGATGATGCTTATGTATTCTGATTAGGGTGAACTTCAGAACTTTTAGTTCTTTTATCACGTTGTTCTGGATGTCTCCTACTACAAGATCTGCAGGACGATGTATGTGTATTTGCATTAGAAGGGGATCTTCATAACTTGTTAGTTGTTTTAACATGGTCTGGATATCCCCCTTTACCCTGGAGTAGCAGGAGTGCAACACATGGCGCCAAGTCACATTTCCTCTTTCAATTTGCAAATCTGCAACCTCTTCCTCATTGTGTTATTTATTTTACACGATGCAGATACGGAGAACATGTACTCGAAGCGAACAAGAATCCGAATTGGCTTTGCCCTGTTTGTCGAGGAATATGTAACTGCAGCTTGTGCCGGCAAGCAAAAGGTTGGGCTCCTACTGGTGCTCTCTATAGGAAGGTAATAATCTTTATAAGAATTTCATGCTACCATACATTTGTCTGTTCTTTCAATCTCTTTATTATATCGTTTTCTTTTTGTCCTTTCTTTTCCATTCTCAAACACTCTTGATTGTTTAACTGATCCAGATTGCTAGACTGGGTTATAAGTCAGTCGCACATTATCTAATTCAAACCCATCGAGCTACTGTCAGTACCGAGAATAACTTGACACCATTCTCTGCAAAAAGATCACTACCTTTCTCAGATATGGAAGGTACAAGAAAAGATGAGGGACTCTGTGAGGTGAAACCAGTGGCGTATGTGGCGTATGATGCTAATGAACCCAATTTAGCTCCAGAAAGTAGTACAGAGCCTTTGCTGCTGAAACCTTATCCTGAAAACAGTGGTACAGATCTTGTTCTCTCAGGCGACAATGTGGGAAACTTCTCAACAGACAACAAATCAGGAAATGCAAATGCTGTGCTGGTGGTAGGTAGCTCATTGACTTCTCAAACAGAGATGAAACCAGTGGACTATGATGGCCATGAGCCCAACTTAGCACCGGAAAGTAGCACAGTGCCCTTGCTGAAGTCCATCGTTGAACCCTTGTTGCTACTGAAACATGACTCCGAAAACAGTGCAGGAAATATCTCAGTAGCCAACAAATCAGGAAATGAAAATGTCGTGCTGGTGGGCAACTCACTGACTTCTCAAACAGAGGTGAAACCAACCTTATTACCAGAAAGTAGCACAGAGCCCTTGCTGAAGTCCATTGCTGAACCCTTGTTACTACTGAAACATGACTCTGAAAACAGTGGTAAAAATCTTGTGCTCTCATGTGATAATGCAGGAAACTTCTCAGCAGACAACAAATTAGGAAATGAAAATGCCGTGCTGGTAGGCAGTGCATTGACTTCAAGTACACCCGTGCTTACTGAATTGAATGATGTCTTCAAAGGCGAGTCACAGCTTAGTGATGAATTTGACATTGGAAAAACGCAATCAAAAGAAGAAAAAGAGGACAGCATTTGTGTCTTGGATGACAAAAACTGTGATGAGGTTGCACCAGAAGTAAGTTCAAAGTCGAAGAAGAAGCCTTGTCGAGCTGCTGCCACACATGTCTTTGATACTATTGCTGGAAGACTAAGGCAGAGACGTGGAAGAAGCAATCTGGAAGCATAACATCTCGAGTAACAAAATAGCGGGATGGTCTTTTGCACCCGAAACAGGTTACGACGTTTAATGGTTAAGCTTATTTGCTGTGAACAAAGGTCTAGGTGACTGGTGGTTTTTGCTAAATGTAATATATATAACCTGTTTAAGGGTGTCTTTTTGCAAAACTTTTTAACTAAAGTTAACTGAAGTGATCCAATATGAAATCTGCTTCTGAGGTTAGTCAAATAACTACTACTCTTCTAACAGAACTTTTGCAGTTGATAGAAAACTAAAAAGGAGCTTGTAGAAGTACTCAATCGAGGCAATATGTAGTCAGCTATTTGCAGTGCTTTTACATGATTACTGTGTACATATTTTTGTGTACAATAAATCATATGAAATACTTCCATAGCCCAACTTAAGTTGTCAAACCACAGTTATTAATTAGGCCCAGGCAGGTCCACTTGTCAAACAACATGAGGCATATCAACTCATTTATCACTACTTTCCTCTCAAGTCTCAAGTAAATTGCCAAATTGATTATCTAAAATAATTAAACTTCTACACACTTAAATGTAAAATAATGTTCACACTATCAGACCAACTAATTGATGGATCAATAATTTGAATATAAGTTAAGTTGTTTGTTATGACCGGTTAAAATACACTGATAATATAAAATAATTTTATACTTCTCATGGTTTACAAGTTAAATAAGTTGTGATCATATCTCAATTACAGCGGTTCTTGTTTGATTTCTCTTCTATGACATTATTTGTTCAATTCATTGAGAACATGTGAGTTGCATAGTCCTTTTATGAATTTCACACATAATATATTGGTTCATGTGATTGAGAGGCAATTTCCTTTATGATATATTTTCCAAAATCTACAAATATGTGAAGTGTCAATTTTTTTTCCCCTTCTAAAACGCATGTGCAAATTTACTCCATCCCTCTCCCATTACCTCCTCAAATAAATAAATTTTTTGCGTCTAATTCACGATGAAAAAATTGCGGAGATATCCATCCCTTTTAAAAATTCCATCTCACGCCTAAAGTTGAACATTTGGTGCATGACTTAATTTTCAAATAGGACTAGCTCGTACAACTTATATTTCAAAAAAATCTATAAATGGGAAGATTTTCAAATGTAAAACTCACATTAGCTTGTATTTCCCCAAGAAATAAAGTGAAAGACAAAAGGGAAAAAGAAAAAGTTTGGAGGGAAAAGAAAATAAAAGGCTACATTTTGTTGGTAGTGGAAATTAAATTGGCAAAGCAAAGGGAGGAAGTTGCGGGAAAAAAAAAAAGATGTTGATAATAACATAACAATAATAATAATAATAATCACTTTAAAGAACGCACTATCACTTTTAAAAGAAGAAAATTAGGAATAGAAAAAGACATAAGCTACTACTACGTCCCTCTCCCAAGAACATGAAAAGGAAATCATTATAATTTATTTTTTTCCTTTTTAAAAACATAGCTTTTCAAATGTAATTATGAAATATGAAAATTATTGTTTTCTCGATTGAAAATAATGTAAAGAGTTCCTTTAAGGTGACTTCAATCAGAGGGTTTTCAAATAGTTTTGTTTTTATTTTTTTTGTGGGTTTGTAAAAGATGATTTATTTATAGATATTTAAATATATAAATACTTTGATTCGAAGCTACCATGACCTGACAAAATGAAAAAAATCCAATTCATTATGGAATTTAATTAATTTATTAGATATTAATTAGTGACCTTTTTTTGTTTGCCCTTCAGTATCAAAACTTGTAATTAATTTAGTAATACAGAAAGGGAGTGCATCGTGAAGAGACAATGATACATTATTTGCCTTAAATCAGTTTACATGTCTCTCTCCCATTATTTAGACAAAACATAGTTCTAATTTCACGATGGTGTGGTCCTGTCTCTTTCTTCGAAAAAATATTTTTACCTTCTCATGATACATAACTTGAATTACTAAGATTTATTTCTTTTATAGTCATTGATTAATATAAAAATTTTAAAGAAAAAGAGATCTTTGCTGTATAACTACGTGAATCAAGTTTAGATGTGTATTCTCTTTGATTTGGATCCAATCAATTAGTATTTCATGCACTCGATATTTGCATCACTAATATTACAAAAAAAAATTAATTTTAATAAAAAAGTAAAAATATACTCTCTCCAATTCAAAATAATTGATATTTTAAGTTTGGACGCATGAATTAAGGAATTCACTTAATCCTAAAATTAAGAGGGATTTTCGGCGAAAACACCCTAGGTTATGCTATCATCATGTGGATTAAGAATTTGTCAAAGGCAATTAGAGAAAATTAAATAAATTTTTGGTTTTGTGAAATAAGAATTATTTCGGATTAACTTCTAGAGGCAAAAAACATCAATTAATTTGGATAAGAGGAGTACAATATATTCATCGATTTGGTGAAAATACGAGAACATAGAAAAATTATTTCTTTCCATTCCTCATCGTTTTGATACACACAACACAACACAACTATGATAAAAAGAGATTTGTAACTTTCAATATATGTCAACATGGTTTCATCTTGTGTTTTCGAAGATCAAACATTTGCATTAAATGTTTGCTCTCTACGAAAACTTAACAATAACAAGGTAAAACTTCAAAATATTGAATTATTACAATCCCTTAAATCAAAGACAAAAAGTATATGATTGAATAATAAAAAAGAGAGAGAATGAGCACTGGGATATTTGTGAATGACCCTAAGGCAAGACAAGTGTAGAGTACCACATAAAAAAGTTCATGCATTTCAAGAAAATGGGATTCACTTTTAACAAAAGTTTGATGGCTTTTTTTTTTTTGAACTAATTGACTTGTTGGGAACTTAGAAACTAGTGGAGATTCCACACAAGGTGAAAAAAAGAGGAAAAAATAAATTTAATTTATTAGTGATTCCAACAACTCCAACAACTAAGAAAGGACAGGTTGGGAAAAAGATTGAGTTTGCATTAAATGTGTCTGTCATAGTGTAATGAGTCCAAAAAAATTTGTAGCCTAACCCCTAGGCCCCTCTACTTATTGCCATTGCCCATTTCTTAGTTGGACAACATATTGTAACTCACATATATATTTGAGCTAATAGAAGAGTATCATTCAAAATTTCAAATGTTTAGCTAATTGTAAAGTATTGGTCATTTGGTAGTGAGGTAAATTTGGAATGGACAAGTCAAACTCAAAGGCATGTAAAGACATAATATAGGAAGTTTAAGGGCAAATACCTAACAACATGTGCAGCATTTTGTTTGAAATTGTACCTAGTAATTGACTGTGTTGATAAAGTCAAAAGACAGTAATGGCAACTGTGGTCCATAATTTTTTTGTTTTTTTTTTCTCACCGTCCGTTATTATTTATCATAATTTCTATATTTAGATTTAAACTATAAAAATTTTGATTGATATTTTAAGATGATTTTTTTTATCATGTTAATATGTAAAAAATTATAATTTATAGTACTTTTCATATAATTTTAGAATATTTAAATTTTTTATTTAAATTAACTTTTAATAAATGTAATATGACAAACAATTTTGAACGTAGGGATTAAAAAATAAGTTTTAAAATGTAGTCATTTTGGTCCTTCTAATCTTGTTGGTGCCAAATTTTTGGGTATCGTGCACCCAACTCCTACTATACAGGACAAGGGAATCCAAAGGCCATGCAGTTAATTCCAATTCTATATACATTATTTTCTCGTTGCAGTTAATTAACCAACCGATGAACAAGAAAGTTGTTTGAATGGTAATTAATAGTGCCGGTAAAATGAGCTCATATTTTGATAATTCATTTAATTTATTTATATTTTAGTTGGTTTAGTGAGTGATTTTTTACATGGATAATATACGAGTAAAATATGAATTAATCAAATAAGTTAAGTTTTAAATTTTTATTCACTCAAAATTCATGATATCACTAAAAATAATGTAACTTATCTTTCTTTTTATCTTATTTTATATAACTAACTATTTTTTTCTCTAATTAAAAAGATGAAGTCTTTGACCCTCCAAAAATAGATAATTTACATGTACATTTCTTTTGTTAATTATAATTACATTTTATTTATTTATTTTATTTTATACTGAATAATTATAATAGTGTAAAATAAGCAAATCATGTATTCGTATTGACATTGTTTGAAGTGCATTTAAGCATGTTTTAGTCCTAAAATGCAACTATTCATTTAGTTTGAAATTAAAAACATTTTCATCTTGTTATTATATGAATTAATTTTATAATGAAAAGTTATAGGGTTTTTCTTTTTATTTTTATGACACAATAAAATTAAATGAAGCATGTTTAACCTTTTCATCTAAAAAAATAAAATACTATTTCATATTAAATTTTTAAATAAAGTATTATTTATTTATAAAAATATAAGTACAATACGAATAAACTAGTATTTTATCTAACTCATTTTATTCATACCAAATATAAACGACATTGAATAATTATCTTATTTTGTGTATTTATTTTCAACCCCATAGCATTTAACCCTATTCGTCCATTTGCCATCACTAATAACTAGTTATAAAAAAATAATGAAGTATATATTTTACCATATAATATAATACATACTTATGTATAATTAATCTAGAATCTAGATAATGAGTTTGTTAATGAGCAGTTGACCACGTGTTACAGTACTTTTGACTGAAAGCACAGTAATCATTATCTTTACATTATTTGACAGTGTGAGGATGCTTCCATGATTGAAATACTAGTCAATTGTTTTTTTTTTCTTTCTGTTTAATTTCAATTCAATATACCTCCAACGATAATTTATTAATGTTTCAAATTCAGGAAAAGTACAACAATCAATTTTTGTCTCAACTATTTGAACTTAGTAATTCCTAAATAATGTTTACCTTCACCAGTCTTTTCTTATTAGCAAATGAAAAATATTACTTATATATGTTGTTGCTTGACTAATTAGCAACCAGTCCTAACGTGATAATAAAACAGTTTATGAAAAGATCAAAAATATTTTTTTTGAGACACGTTAAAAAGGGAAATTATGTCACTAAGTATTCAATAACAATGTTAAATCCAGCCAGTTCCTGAATAAAAGAAGCCTATAAAATATTAAATGATAAATATACTCTATTAAGTAATTTATATAGGCTCCACGTGAATCTTATTCACCTTTGTTGTTTTTTTTTCGACTAAAATTTACTATCTAAAAATCCATTAAAATCCTTTAATTTATAATACAGC